CTTAGTGGGGAGCGAGACATAATAGAGATGTGACACAGCCCCTTTATCAAAGATTCGGCCCCCTGCTGTTCTCCTTTTGGGATCGGAGCTCTTGCAGTTTGTTTGAACATCAAAGTTATTTTCCTAACATCTGTGAACTGGATAAAGCACTCAAAGTTGTTAAGAGTAAAAAACAATAATCGTTGGTATTAAAAAATTGTCTGCATCGAGTTGAGATTTGTGGTGCCTCACCCGGCTCTTGCTGAAAAAAATGTGAAGACCCCAAGCTCACTTACATACTATTGAATCACCACGGAGTGGTGTTTTGGCCTGATTTTGTCATCACACAAGTTTGTTTTCCTGACATCTTTGTGCTATATTTACTAGTGATTAGGGCTGCGCGATTATGACACTAAAACTAAAACAATGGATAACCCCTTAAGATAACATGTAGAAAGATATCTTAAGCGCGCAGAATAACATAAGTGGACTTTGAACGATTAATTGCCGCTTTGAATGATTACGTAATTGTGGCATCCATAATTGTAATTGCGATTAGAAATTCGATTAAGATGTTTATACCATTGTTTGATGCAACTGCATGCCGTATTTCTATATGAAAATAAACAAGATGAAAACACTCTTACTGAAAAACCTTTAGTGCTTTTCTATAGTATTAAGCCTCAAATGTCAACTATACATCGGATTGGTTTCTTCTTTAAATTATAAAAAAAAAGTAAAAATATGAATGGTATTATAATGTTATATTGAAACTAAAACTAAAACAATGGATAACCCCTTAAGATAACATGTAGAAAGATATCTTAAGCGCGCAGAATAACATAAGTGGACTTTGAACGATTAATTGCCGCTTTGAATGATTACGTAATTGTGGCATCAATAATTGTAATCGCGATTAGAAATTCGATTAATTGTGCAGCCCTACTAGTGATGCACCAAAATGAAAATTGTGGGGAATAACCGGAAAAATCAAGATGCACTTGGCTGATAACTGAAACGGAAAATAAAAAAGTGATGCATCATGCCACATTAAAGAGCGTCAAAACCACATTTATTTATTTTTGTATTATGGGATAAAATTGACAGGCTTTGAAAGCTGAGACTTAAAGTAACAAAGCACAAAACCAATTGTAATTATTATTGCATGGCAGGTGCTGTAAATAATGTTTAGCAGTATTGATTAAAAATGAGAAATTGATATGGTTAATCCAATGTTTAGTTAAAGTTCATGGATCATCAGAAAACAGCACAAACTAAAAGATCGATCTTGAGATTTAAGAGTCAATAGCAGTATTGATTAAAAATGAGAAATTGATATGGTTAATCCAGCACTGTTTACCCATTTTAGTTTATCCATGTTTTGTGCATGAAATAGACACCGACACGCTATCAGAGAAACACTCATTTGGTCAATGATTTCAGCCCTTCAAAACGATTTTTGGAGCTTCTGCACTTTGGGAAATGAATACTGAGACAGTGCACAGTTTTGCAATTCAGACTACACTGAATAGCACCATCAACTAGCGTGGAAAAAGGGAGGTGATCTCTAGTGCCTGTGTGATACGTGATAGTCTTCATTCGTGTCCGCTGGTGTGTCATTCCATCAGGAGCGTAACTATGTCGTGAGCCACTCCTAAAGGAGGCTCTTTCACAGAAGTCTTTGCAGCAGCAATGTGGTCGTCTGCCTTCATGTGGGTGAGTTGCATTCCTGACACTATTGATAATGGTCATCCACTGGCTTAGACAGTCAGGAACCATGAATTAGGACTTGAGTGATGAATACAACAGTCAAAGGACTGGCATGTTATGGTCACTTGAACAACATGCATTATTGGTGAAATGTTTTCCAAAGAGGGAGAGCAGGGGTTGTACATAGTCAGATCTCTTTTGTAATTCTTGTATTTTGATCCCCATTACCCAGCTAACAAGGAACATTCTCAGAACATCCTCTTTCAAAGTTACAAACAAGTGTTCCTAATAGAACGTTCAAAAGTAACGTTCTTATAATGTTTGCAAAATTATAAATCAGAATGTTCCCCTAAGCGTTTTAAAAACAACTGCATGTTTTGAATGTTCTGAGAACTTGCCACACTCATTTAAACTATTTAACTACTTTTTATCATCATGATGGCCAACCTTATTTGTAATTGACCCCCTTTTTTGTGTGCTTGTGCCATTTTAGACCCACTGGACTCACGTGGAGACGATCGAGCTAGTTAACGATGGAACCGGTTTGGGCTTCGGGATTGTTGGCGGTAAAACCACCGGCGTTATTGTCAAAACCATCCTACCTGGAGGCATCGCTGACCAGGTAAGTGCACTTTTGACCTTTTTATGCACTATTACTACCAGTGGTGTTTCTGTCTGTCTGTATGCCCCTCTCTCTGACCTGTTGTCCTGTCCTTGACGTTTTTGCGTTCTTTTTGAGCAATTAAAGAAAGACAAGTAAAAAAAGTACGGCTGTCAATTTAATTAGGTGCGATTCATTTTAGAAAAAAAAACACGTTAAATAAAGTGCATTTAACGTCGCCGCCCTGCCTAGACCTGTGCATCATCTTACATCGCATGAAGTTGCTGATGAATGATGCAGAACGACTGACTGTGTGATTTAGCCTATGAATGCAATTAAATGCCCCTAAAATTCAAGATATGAGGGTAAAAAAATGCCCCTGTATTAGTATTTGTCTTATATTTATATCATATGATATCGTTTAGCAATATCACACAAGCAAGAGAGCTGTTTTTCCCAAAATATCTGCACCATTGCAAATGTGATATTGATTTTTGAACAAATCGATTGAGCGAATGATTCAGTGACTCATTCATAAAGGCTGTGAAAATGCTGCCTTTGGAGGACACATTTCAAGGTAGGAAGGCATCAAGGCACGTTCGAATCCAAAGTTAGCTTCACTTCCTGCCTCCTGAGATACCTTCATATGGTCGATTTTTGAAGGCAGCATAGATGTATCCTTCGCTGCCTTTGATATCCCATGATCCTGTGCATTCCATTCCGTGATGGTTGAGCTTAGTTATCACCAAAGCTCGTTCTATTTTGTTGTAGATCATTAAACCGTTATGCTGCCTCAGAAGCATGTCCGAAATCAGTTGCGTGAGGTGTCTTTGTGCGCAAACGCTGCCTGCAAATCATTGCCTGATAAGGCACCGAAGTCAGCTGCCGAGGGTTTCTGATGCAGCCAGTCACTTGCCTCGTTTTTGAATGAATCAGCCATTTGAATGAACTGGTTGAATGACTCGCTCATTAAGAAATACTGAGAAATACTTCCACCTATTGGCGGTTGTAGGTTCACATTTAGAGTATCATTTCATTTTTTTAAATTAATTTCATATTTTAATATTCAATAAAAAAAAACATTAATACCCATTATTTATGCAATGTTGAACCAAAATGTTTCTTTCTAAAGCTACTTTTTGTAATGTCTATTCAATGATTTGACACAATAATGACCTTAATTTGCACGGGATAATTCCTCAGCCAAAACTGATGTGCGATTAATTTGCGATTAATTTGATTAATTAATCAGCACATCGCATATTTAATTTTTTAGATTAAAAAATTTGATTCGCTTGACAGCCCAAAGTCAACAATGATTGTCTAATAACTCTGTGAGGGTCCAGTGAATTCAACCCAAGAATGAAAACGTTGGTGGTTGTCATAAAATCTGTTTATGAAATATACAGAAGTTCACCTTCTCTCTCACTGGTTCTAGGACGGTCGCTTGCGCAGTGGGGATCACGTCCTGCGGATCGGTGATACGGATCTGTTTGGTCTGAGCAGTGAGCAGGTTGCTCAAGTGTTGAAACAATGTGGGAACAGAGTCCGACTCCTCATCAGCCGAGGGAAAGCGGATGATGCTCCTCCCACTCCTGTCACCTTGCCGACCGTCACTGAGCAACAGGTACAGCTGCATGTGCTATATACATTTTCGGTATACATTTTGCTGTTTTGAGATTGACTGCATTGACTGATAACCGTGCGGTCTTAAAGGAACAGTTCACACAAAAAGTTCTTGAAACTTAACTCACCCTCAGGCCATCCAAGATGTAGGTGAGTTTGTTCCTTCATCAGATTTGGAGAAATGTAGCATTGCATCACTGTCTCAGCAATGGATGCTCTGCAGTGAAGTTGCATGTTTGTAAGAAACAAATCCATCGTTAACACGTTTTTAACTTTAAACTGTCGCTTCTGGCTAAAATATGAGTCCACAATTCATAACAATGCTTTCTTCAGTGAAAAAGTCCATCTCCTGTTGTCTCTCACATCAAAATCCAGCCACATATTTGTTTAGAGCTGCTTTGGCTTGTAAACGGTGCTTGATCTGTGCACATTTATCTCCTCTGATTCAGACCAGACCACTTTTACAGCATTTTCAGCAAATTTTCATTTTTGGGAGAACTATTCCTTTTACAAAAGTGGTAGTCAATTCCAAAACCTACCAAAAATTAGCTCAATATTTACATTTTCTATTATATATATATATATGTGCAATATCACACGAGTAGCAGTGCGATATTCAACATCAAAACCAGCCTCCCCAACACACTCGATCCGCTCCAGTTTGCATACCGTCCAAACCGCTCTACAGACGATACAATCTCCTCCACCCTCCACCTGGCTCTTACCCACCTAGAAAATAAAGACTCCTATGTTAGAATGCTGTTCATCGACTTCAGCTCAGCATTCAACACAATAATCCCACAACAGCTCATCAATAAACTAAACCTGCTGGGCTGTATATCGGCACGGCTGTCATTCGGCCGTAGGTAATCACAGTGTACCGATATACAGCCATATCGCACGGCTACGAGAGTGATATTGCGTTTATACAACAGTTCGACGGCACAAGTGTGTAAATACATAAGAAACAACAACGGAGTGTCTTCAAAAACCATCTTTTCTTTTGTCAATGTCAACTTTATTTATATAGCACCATTAAAAACATCAATTGTTGACCAAGGTGCTGAACAATGTGTCCAAAAACAGTCAATAATAAAACCAAATACTACATAACAGATTACACACACTTAATATCAATAACTAAACAAATTAGCTTAAAGCCAAAGAAAATAGATATGTTTTGGGTTTCACCTTAAAATAATGTAGCGTAGTAGCAGTTCTAAAGAAAACAGGTAGGCTGAAGCAAATTTTCAAATAGACGTTATCTTTATTAATAAACCGCATACTTGAAGTCTAAACAAGTACATTCTCGCCTAAAAACACAAAAACAGTATTATTTATAAAATTATAGTGGAGTTGGGCGTCCATCATGACACTCGCTGTGAGAAATACCGCAAGCGGAGTGATACAAACTTTGAAACGGTTGGAGTGCTGTTGTCACTAGAATATTGCACTCCTCTCAGCCAATCAGATTCGAGGACCAGATAGAACGATTACATACATGAGTGGATGTTTTGCTTTGCAATCTTTGCCAAGTCTTCCCGGGTCCTGTGCATTTAACTATAAAATGAAAAACCGGCAATTTATTAGGAAATGTTGCAGGTGTTTCTTAATATTGCCTTTCTTTAATAACATGAAATGCTTTCTTGAGAATATTGTTTTAATTGCTAATCATTGTATTAAGTCCTCAATATCACATTTCATTCTGATAGTCTTTTCTCTGTAACTAACAAAAGCCTGAGGCCAGTGCAGCAAACCCATTAAGTTAGTAATAATAATTGCAAGGGAATGTTTTCTTAGCCTAATGTGTTTGTTGCAACTGGCTGCAGGAAGAAACATGATAATTAGCAATAGAAATGATGAATTACGTTTTGTGTTACATATCAAAATGAACTTCAGGTTGACACCCTTGTGTAAGCTAACTGTGACTGTTAATGTTCTTGTTATTGTGTAATAGTCAAGTAATATTAGTTGTATGAGTATGAGTATGTATGACCAGAGTATCTTCTAAAACTCTGATATGCTGTTTATAGAAATACTTCTGTAAATTACAACACAAACATATTCATTTAAGTTACAAAAGGTACTGCTTGTAAACTCTGTAACAGGAACGACTCTTGACTGTGTGTTTGTATGTAAAGTATGTAAAGTATAATGAAGACTTTCACAGATACCTTTCTTTCTTTCTTTCTTTCTTTCTCGTTCTGTTCTCACTGCTGTGTTTGTCTGCTGGCAGGGTTTTGAGGAAGAAGAGCAGGGCTCTTTTGATGTGAGCTTGACGAAGAACGCTCAGGGTTTAGGCATCACCATCGCGGGGTATGTGGGTGACAAAACCTCAGGTGAGCTTTGAATCATACACCAAATTGTATTAATAAACAGAACTGATGTGCAAACTCAACAAACTAGTGATTATTATATTAAGTTTCCGATGGCAAGGATCACTATAATTATTGCTCAAGCCCACACTGTAAAAAAAAAAAATCTGTAGTTTTTACAAAATAATTTTGGCAGTTGTGGTTGCCAGAAAAATTTTGTAGAAAAACTGTAAAAACATTTACAGAACATACTGTAAATTTTACAGAATAAACAAGAAAATTTGAGTGTAAACTAGTAAATTCAACAATGCACACTGCTAGTAAAATCTGTTTTGTATCTTTAACATAAACTGACAACCACCATAATAATGCAGGTGGTAAAAGAGACAGCAATATGAAGAATCAGTTCATCACAAGTAGCTTTTCCACAAGCTGAAGTATATACTAATATATAGAAGGTGCGCAGAGTAGGCTTGCCGCGATAGACGATGCTGACGGTGATACCGTTGTTAAGCCGCAACACCGGTTACGTCACTTGCCCACCGCGGCACCGACCCCCACCGTTGTTTTGATTTTTTATAGTAATAAAAATCATTTAGTTCAGTAAAAGAACAGACACTACAATTAAAAACTGAACGCGGCTGCTCAATGCAGCGTGCCGAACGACAGTCGCATCACAGATCAGATTTAATTTCTCCAGT